AATATTAATCAATAAAAAGAAGTTAAACTGTTGCATATTATATACAATGAAATACTTCATAAGAAACTTTTCCTTTTTAATAAAATAACAAGAATAACAAAATAAATCCTATTAACTTGTTGTTGACAAAGTGTAACTATTTTTGTACATTACACGACAGCATCAAAAATTTTGGTCACACTTTTTAGCTTTCTACCACCTTATGTATGAATTTTAGAGATTTTAATGTATGAATTTTGGAGATTTTAAATCAATCAAATTTAAACTGTCTAATTCGGGAGTACGTCACGGTTCTCTCTGAACCGACAGATTTGACGGTTTTTATTTAGAGGTTTTCTAAGACAAATCGAACCTGCTTTGGCCTGATTTCCGATTATTCTCGTTGAACGTAATGGTTGAACGTAAAAAAGGGTTTGTTCACTGCGACATGAAACCCGCCAACATTCTTGTTTTTCCCAGCGAAGATGGCTATATAAAATCTCAAGATAGCAGATTTTGGACATGCCAAGAAAATTGGAGAGGAGGAAATCTTGAGTCCTAGGCGAAAGATTCACAACAGAGGCGCACTGTTCTATTCGTCCCCAGAATCGATAGCGTTGGGGATGCACAAGCTAGTTACTGATATATGATCGATGATCACTGGCAGACGCATTTGGACGACTGCTCGGAATGATGGAGAGTTGTTTCGGCAGATTGGATTTTGTAATCCACTAACCGAAAATATTTCCGACATTGCAAAAGATTTCTTGAACAAATGCTTGGCAAAGAAACATGAACAGAGATGGACAGCTGACATGCTGTTGAATCATCCATTTATTGTCAAGAATTTGGCAGCACTGCCTCCAAATTTTGGGAATGGTATATGGGCTTCTACATACCACCTCTTTACCAATCCACAGAAGCTTCAGATTCAATATCCTCATCAACTATGTGCACCCCGCAAGATTAATCAGAATGTTCATGTTCAGTATCTATTACCTCACCAGCTATATCAACCCTTCCAGAAGGTTCAAAATGCAATATGAAGTTCATTGCATTGCCACTGAGAATTTGGTGGCTTTTGGAAGCCATGTGAGAAAAGTTTGCAGCCTTGTTTAGGAACTTGTCATAGTTTGAGCTTTCTAGGTTATTTCTAGTTTGTTGAGACAACGAGTCTGTTTTTCTTTTCCGTGATAACGTAAATTGTTACAACCCATTTTCATAAGTCAAAGCAAATGGTTGAATTGTCAAAGTCAATATCAATAAGGATTTATTTGGACTAAAATATTTTTTTGGGGTTAATTTTATTATTGGATTTATGTGAGGAATTTAAATAGATTAGCTTGGAAGTTGATGACTTACTTATTCACTATGGGAAGTATAAGGCCTCAATGTGCAAATCTCCTCAATCTTTGCCATTTCAACCCAAAATGTCTCAATTCTCTCACTCACT